GACTATCCCCCTTAGGGGGTGATTTCTCACTTTCTGTCTCTCTGTCTCTCTCTGTCTTTCTGATGAGCGCATATACCCTATATCGAAAAACCTCTCTGGACCAGCTGTTAGCGTAATGGCTGTGTCGCTGGACTCCCACATAGTCCACCGTGGTTCATGTCCCGGACCCAGTGGCTTAAAACTCACGCCGGGCGCGTGTGCGTGCATGCCCAAGATCCCAAGAGGAGAATGGAGAAGGGATTGCGGCGTGACCATCCCCCCTGGGGGGTGATTTCTCACTTTCTGTCTCTATGTCTCTCTCCGTCTTTGCGGCGAGCGCACGCCCCCTACAGTGAAAATCTCAAAAAAAAAAAAAAAAAGTTGCTTAGTTAGGGAACCAAGCACTCAGCCCAGTTTATTGGTGGTTACTGAGCATGCACTCATTAGTTCATTTTTCATTCAGCACATTTGAATGACATTTTAAAACATAACTAATTATTTAATTTATTATCATTATTTTTAAATTTGACTAGAAAGAGAAAGGGAAAGTGAGAAAGCAAGCCACCAGGTTCCAGGACTAGAAACACACATGGTTGGCCATGTGGGAGTCCAGCATCTTAACCACCGTGCCACCTGCTGGCCCCTTGAATGACACTTTTGTGCCCTGCACTATGGCTAGTGCTTGCAGGGGAGTAAACGACAGGTAAAGATCCAGTCTTGCTCTTGAGAAGCTTTAACTAACACACAATTTAGAGATTTCTAATCAAAGATGTGCTCTACTAAGGACAAAAAGAGAGAATACAGTCTTGGGGTCTGAAGTCCAGATTCAAACTCTGTCTTTATACTTGGGTTATCACAAACTGGTTGTGTGACTTTTCATTTTTTACCTGTAAAATGAGGATAATAATAGCAACCTCACGATTGCCAGGACCAAGTGAGATGACTCATGTGAAAGGGTTCTGTAAACAGGATAGGACTTCGCAAACACTGCCAGTAAATTACTGAGGGTGAATGTACTGGGACTTTCAAGCAGTGTTTGTCAAAGTGTGTTTGAAACATTAATGCTCAAGGATAGGAATATGCACTTATCAAAAAGAGAGTTCTATGATCAAATATATTTGGGAAATGCAGGACTAAACAAAGTAAAACACGGTTTTTAGCCTTTAAAAATGCTAATGTGCATGGAGAGTCTTAGGGGAAGCAAATACACTGTTTCTTGCCCCCAAATTAGGGCAATCTTGAGATTTACTCCTATCCCTGCTCCAGCATCTCTAAAGTCTTGAGATTGGTACAACTCACGTTAAGAAAAAGCTTTCCACAAAGGAAAATATTAGTCTTCAATTTACAAGCCATCTATTTCTCAAAAGCTGAGCCATTCATCAAATAAGCTAGATATTTATTCAACAATTATTCAGTAACATTGAGGTTTATAAAATACAAAAGGAAAGGGCCAAGCAATCCCTTGCCAGGTTAGAGTAGAGTGCCGCAAGGTTGTAGTGGATACATTTAATATCCCTTCTAAGACGTCCACTGATGAGAAGGCACCAGCAGGTGAAGGATAACAAAAGTGAAGAGATGCAGGTTGATTCTCAAAGCATTTACTAATAGACATGGTATAAAAATCAAGAGTCAAGTAACAACACACGACAACTTCGCTTCTAAGAAATGAATGCAGAATTATCTCTCGTACGTACGATGATCCTTTCTTCTTAATTTAGAGGCCGTCTTTTTTTCTAAACTCTGCCACCTTTTTGTCTCCCTTTTGATCTTTGGAAATATCCCAAGATCTATTATATCTCCATTTGAGACCCTTTCTAAAGGGAGCAACGGAACCTAGCGGCGAGGCGCCAATGGAGGACGCAGGCGCAGCACCGCTCAGGTGTGCTTGGCTGGCTGTCTTCCCCACCCAGCGGTTCCGCGCACCTTCGGAACGTCTGGAGGAGGGGCGGGTCGTGCTGGAGGGGCGGGTCATACCTGAGAGGCGGAACAGGCCTAAGAAGCGGAGAGGCGGGGCGGACCT